ACTGGTTTGAACGTTTTTCGACAGTTCCATTTACCTATAATTTACATTTATTAATAAAAACGTGTTTACTTTCGGGCCAGTGACATAATTTATAAATGAACTTTTATAAATTTATAAAAAGTTAAATGTGTATGACCCATACCGTTTCTGTTATAATAGGCTATTTATTTGTGCTATGTTTATGTAGCCTAGGTATACAATTTTGCTAGCCCGTAAATTTTTATTCTTAAGACTTAATGTAGTGGGGACCGCCAGCTAAAATATCCTCTTTTTTTACAAATTACCAAATGGCAACCCTAGTAATAGATTATTCCCTATCAAGGGAAATTCACTAAAAACAATTCCACGATTTGAAAGTTATTAAATCAAAAGTAGAATACCAGTACGGTACGTATGGGTACAGTGTCTTAACTGGGCTATGCTAATATTGATTGAAACTATTGAATTCAAAATATTGATTAATTATCGATATTTTTAAATATATCTATTATAACATAAAACTATCATAACCTAACCTAACCTAACCAACCAAACTTGCTGATGGTGAAAAAATTGCATAAAGGTTTAAGAAAATCGAATCGATAGTTTCAATCAATATTAGCATAAGTTAGCCCAGTTAAGAAACTGTACCCGTACGGATAAAGTTATTAAGATATGACCTAATTTTTGTCTTCACTGTTACAATACAGTGAGGCTAGGCCTAACTTAGTTTCAATAAATTCTCAGTGAGCTTGATTAAGTTTATAACTTAGCTAAATTAAGCCTTGCTGTTTGAGAAATCACTAAAAATTTGATAAACATTTAGGAAGAACCAAATCTAAATAAGAACAAATATTTATATCGCAAGATTGGCTCAATCCCTGAGTTTTCTGACAGATACTAGGCCTACAACTTCAGAAAATCTAAACATAACCAATAAAGTAAACAAATGAGACGTTACAAGATCATCTTACCCTAGCACGTTCCATGTTAAAAACTCATTGTTTCTTGATAATACATCAACCTCGGAACAACAAAATGTTGGTTTTGAAGCTAAATACACAAACCACCCATATAAACAAAGAAATCCAGGGAGAGAACGACTCCCCATCACATCTTCCTTTATACTGACAGCCATATTGCTGATGAACCCAAATTTTATGCAACACTTGAACCCTGATTGGTCAGTTCTTCAACAAATAGCAAACATTACATCCAATCAAATTAGTTGACTACTTGAGCATTTTTGTCAAGTCTGTCAAGAATATACTATAACCAATACATTATTTAAATCATTGATTTTGACATTAGATACTATAAGAAGACTTTTAATCGAGTTATAAAATCTAAAGCAAGGTTTGAAGCACTTTGAAGTGTATCTTTGTCTCCTATAATACATACAAGCATGAGTGTAATCCTGTTATTTACGTCTGAGTAATATTGCGTTTGAGTACTTATGTGAAGCACAAATATGTGTCTGCCCTATTTTCAACAAACTTTGCAGTTTATGCTTTACGCTGAGGTTTTAATATCGGAAGATAATATTACTTTCCAAATCAAATTAGTAATTAATAGAAGGCGCCAATGCACTTAAGTGTTAACAAATAAAACACAATTAATTACAAATTAATTTGCTATGATTCATCACAGGCCCATAAATGAATTGATGAATTACCTTTACTTAGACACTGCTATTAGATTTTTTATCTTGTAAAAGTTCAATCTAAACCTTAACCTGTTCAAATAAATGTCTGTTTGATTATTTGATCGGGTCGTCATAGAATGATCCCCCAGAGCAGAGCCGCAGAGCGCTCTCAAGTTAGTTCGTGAGCGGAATTTTACCCCCGCGGATTTGGGAGTCTAATGAAAATAGACAGCGTGATCAAGAACAGCGTTATATTAGAAAAAAATCTGAATTTTACCACCTGTCAAGATCCACAAAACAAGGTGGAAAACAGCATTATTTTGGAAGCAGGGCTGGGAACTAGGGTTTATGCAACTGAAGAATCATGGCCCGGAATTTAACCCCCAGGTTAGATAGGTATCAAATATTTAAATATAAATATTAGATAATAATAAGAGCTTTTAGAGAAAGACGTCTAGGAAGAACTATTATCTACAACATTTTGTAGGCAAATAAAATTTGTAAACAAAATATCAAAATCTCTATACAGGGTGGTAAAAAAGTCCCAGGACAGTTAAATATTTAAAAAAATAATGCAGATAGAGCTACAATACTTGGTACAAAGTTACAGGACATAAAACTCTATTTTAACACATATTCAGTAATCCAATAACTCTTCAGGGGGACGGCCCACAAGGAGTCGGAAGAATGTCTTAAATGAAACATAGGTCAATATGCACATCAAATTAAAGGTCTTTTTTAGTAGAATACAATGCCGCTGTAGTGTCTACTCTTCCTTATGGTCTTTACCAACCATATTAAAAGACAGTTGTTTTAACGAAATATTTAACATATGTTGGTTTTTTATTATTATTAATTTTTGATTTGTAAACAGTTCAGTTTTTACATTATTTTTTAATACAACTTTTAATTCATACAACTATTGATTTTTATCATTTACTTTATTGGTGACCCCTTATAAGACAACATGAACATTAATGAAGATTTGGTTACCCAAGAAATAGCCAACTTGTCTATTAAAGTTCCTCAATTCTGGAAACCTGACCCAAAAATTTGGTTCGTTCAAATATTGAAGCTCAATTTCGAAGATCACGAATTGTCTCAGATCAAGCCAAGTTCGACACGGTGGTAAGTTCTATTGACGCTGATATTCTATCTCAAGTCTCTTGAGATAGAATATCTGTCACAGATCCACCAGCAGAGAACAAATACATAGCAATAAAAACTAAATTGATTTCCTTGTATGATGAAAGTGACCCAAACAAAATACAAACCCTTCTGACAGGTATGGAACTTGGGGACCAAAAACCCTCGCAACCTCTGAGTAGAATGAGGTCACTGGCTCAGAATAAGGTGAGTGACGATTTTTTAAAAGCTCTTTGGTTGAAACAACTACCGATCAATGCTCAAACTACTCTTTCAATTTGTGATGAAAACTTATCTAAACTTTCGGAGATGGCTGACAAAATTATTGGCATCACAACTAATCATCTAAATTCCACTACCTCTGTTTCTTCCATAGAAACACAGGATTCACGTATAACTAATCTTCAAAAACAAGTATCAGAATTGTCTAATGAAATTCAATCCATCTACAAAAACAATCTAAGTCAATCCAAACGTGCTTCTCACAACACAGACACAAGGAAATCTTCTCCACAACAGTCTTTGTGTTACTATCACTTTAATTTTGGTGGACATGCTCGCAAATGCACACCTGACCTCCCTGTTTGTTATCTCAGTTACCTTTGGAACAGGAAAACTCCAGCCCCCAGGTTCTTCGGCGACACGGCCGAAGGGGGCAGAAGTGAGTCGCCTATTTGTTCATGACAGACAATCATTGTCCAAATTTCTCGTGGACACTGGAGCTGATTTTTCTGTGATTCCAGCTACCGTTAAGGATAAAAATCACCCACAGAAACTTGAGCTTGTTGCTGCTAATAGTACAAAAATTAAAACTTATGGCCAAAGACAACTTATGATTGATTTAGGACTAAACAAGCTTTACAAATGGAATTTTATAGTAGCCGATGTTAACAAACCTATATTGGGTATGGATTTTTTATCACATTTTAATCTTATTATCGATGCCAAGAAAAACAGGCTCATTGATGGTGCACTTCGAAACATTCCCCAGAAAATGTCTTCAAACCGTAACCCTTCAGTCTTCTCTTTGAATACAAGTAATCCATTCAATTCCTTATTGGCACAATTTCCGGATTTATTAAGACCTAGTCCTATAAACAAAAAGATTGTTGGTTATGTGACAAAAAAGCTGCTACGCTTTTATAGTAACTAATAAGTTGTCTTTTCAGATTGTCTCAGTTAAAGTGATGACCGTATTCCGTATTAAACAGAAATCAGTAATCACACCAGCCCACACTCTGTCTCTCAAATCAGCTATGTTTATCTCTCTTCTACGGAATTGAATGTCTAGTTCTAGTATCCAGTAGGTTATGTGTACCATATAACAAAGAGATGAGAATGAAATTTAATTAATACATTTAAATATGAATGCAAAATGAGTGTAGAGCGGAGTGAGATTTGTTTGTAGCTTTTTTTTGTTAAGACCAGCTATCTCTTTAGCCAGGGTCATTTATGATGCCAATGATCAAGCTGGGTCCATCAGAGACCTAGATGATGATGATGGTCTATGGACTTTCAAGCCATCAAAGAGGTACTGCTACCCTTTCTTAGGATCAAACACATTAACAAAAAAGTATTCAAATTTTACAAAAGGGTGGGGTCACAATTCAAATTAAAATATAAAAAATAGTTGAGTCAATCTGTGTTAACAAACAGCACTTCACTTCTAAAATATGACTAGACTTCAGGACAGCCATGAAAACAGGTGGGTCCATAAAGAAATTTTAAGATTAGTAAAATTTAAGTTCAATCAAGTTGTCTGTAATTTAATGATAGGAAGGAACACCGCTGAACTTTAGTGCTATTATGAACTACAATGATGGCGAGACTTTAAACTTTGCTTTTACACTATACATAATAATCATGCTCTACTTGTGTTTACCCAGTTGGTTGATTTTTTCATTGGCAGGCCCACTATGCACATTTTCATTCCCTTACCCCAATTAAAAATATTGCGGGGTAAATTATCCCAATTACAGCGTTCAGGATGCATAAGACTTCAATCTTAACCTGATGCAATAATATTTCAGACAGCTTTGTACACTTACATTTCCCTCTCTATACTGCAGTGTCTCACACTAATCCAAAAAGATTATCAAAGACACCAGTATAACACCACACGATCATTATGTCTAGACATTCAAACCGTTTTGCAGTCTTGTCATACATTTCTAGAACTGTCCATTTCATAAACTGCCACTAAATTAAAAGGATAAAAGTAAAAACCATGTAAACTAAACAATAATTTTAATGAGGTTATTTGACGTTTTACAACAATATCAGTAGACAGTTTTCTTCACTACATTCACAATAATGATGGAGACATCTCAGTGGTACTTCATTTGACGGTGAGCCTCTGAAAAATAAAAAATCATAAATTGATTGAATGAAAAATTCATACAATTTTCATAAACATTGTAAAAAACTACTTTTGGGTAGCTACATTTTAATATTATTTTTTGTGTGGTCCATTAAAAGTCGTCATTAAAAAAAAATTCTTTCCATCCCATTAAAGTTAAGCATAGCTCTACTAAAATTAGTTTTTTTGCTAACAACTATCTATTTCAAGGTAATTTATTATCAGGGCTGTCGCGTGGGCGCTGCGGGAAGGGGGCGCCGCAGGTGTCACAGCAAAAGTAGTACAGGTTATATACGTACATAACGCAGAGGAGTGTGAAAGAATTAGTGTTTGATCCTACTACAAGCTCGAGGGATTGAGCAGCAAGTCAGGAAAACCGAGCTCAAGTCGAGTTTTTAACATTGTTTTTAAGAGATGTTTTAACCATTGCAAAACGCACCTGCAAAGATTAGGCTTTTGCTGCGGTCGCCAATAATAAGGTTTCCATTATCGCGGAGAACGATTATCATGTTTCCGAGACCGTGGGGGATTATCAAGATTTGGCCGCAATCATGGAAGATGATGATTATATTTTAGTTACCGTACCGCAGAAGATATTCAGGATTTTGCTGTGATTGCGGAAGACAATGATGATGATTCCGTGATTGCGGGAGATATTAAGAATTTTGCAGCATTCACGGAAGAAGATGACGATGTCCATATGACCACAATATAATCTTGGATTTGCCGCAACTGCGGAGGACGGTGACTATATTTCCGTTGCCAATCGATACATTCAGGAGTTTTCCGCGATCCTAGACGATTATGATATTGATATGACCAAGGCATAATCTTGGGTTTACCTCGATCAAGAGGATGGGAGGCTATAATTACATAGCCAATGGATACATTTAGGATTTTGCCGAGATCAGGGAAGATGATTATGATGTCAAGAGCGATCTTGATTTTCCTGCTATTGCGGGAGACAATTATGATGTCCACATTACTGCGGGACAGTCTTGATTTTGAAAAAAGTAAATGAAATTAAAAAGATTTATTTATACATTTAAAGTTAAAGTAAAGTTAACATTAAAGTAAAGAAGTGTAAAGTGTAAAGATTTTGCCGCAATTACAGAGAACAATGACTATATTTCTGGTACTAATGAATATATTCAGGATTTTGCTGTGATCACAGAAGAGGGTGATGATGACGTTTTTGTGACCGCGAGATGTATTGAGGATTTGGCTGCGATCGTGGTTGACAATGATGATGACTGTCTCTGCTACAGATGATGTCTCAAGCTGCGACGCGACCCACCAAGAGCATCGCTCATTGAGTGTTTGAAGGAGGCGCCCGAAATCCTACCCCGGACGCCAATAAATCACGCCATGTTTATTATTTACTTCAACTACCATTATAATACATACCTAAACGATCTCATAAAACTATAACTATTTATCTCGATAAAATTCTGGAACATTAAATGAAACTGTCCTGTCAACAAACGTGAAGAAAGCACAGGATGAGTTCCCCATCGTTTTGGATTCTTCCGATAATACGCTTCGATAATATCTAAAATGAGCAAAAAGCTTACACAACCTAAATGGATGGTGTCCATCTTGGAAATAAAGTAAGCGCCGTGGTGGAAAATTCGCTCGGAAAACGCTTAGTATGACAGGCACCCGGCCTTGGCACGACAGCATCAACAATGATTGCCGTAACGCATGACATGGACCTCGATGGCATCCGAGTGACGGTGATAGCACTCGTATGAAATTAGCCTAAGGGTTTAAGCAAAACTGCTGATTGAAGATCCTCAAAGAAACTCAAAAAGACTCTTGAATCCTAGACTGCAGCATATTTCAGGTAGCCTATAGCTTTTAGCAGTATTAGATGAGTTGTACCTACTTGCAGATATAGTTTCAACGCAAAATTTGCTCATGTTACTTTGGCATCTGGTATTGTACTTGTCACTTACTCATGGTCCTGTAGTTGAAGTAGTAGAACGTAGCCATACACCCAATAGCGATCTGCAGTGGACCAGCAATTCCAGCATACTTAGGTTGGTAGTACTTGTGCTGCCACCTCCACCAAGCTATCAAACATAAAACATCATCACTTAACTTCTGATACAACTTGTGAGACTTTAAGTGCACACTTAGCTGAAGTCAATGTCTCCTTAGTAGCTGCATTTTCTAGCATCAATGTTTTGCCTTTCTGCCTTCATGTTAAATTACAAGCAACCAGACAAGCAATTTTAGAACATTGCCACATGTCTGATTCCAGTCAGACACACTCTTGTAAGCAAGTAAGCTACAAGTACCCTCAAGCCCTATCTTGTTTGACAGTACTGTATAACATAATTAATGATAAATCTAACAAAAGGTCAACATTATACAGGGTGGTAATAAAGTCCGAAGACAGTTAAATATTTTCTAAACGACAACAGATAAATCAATAAGATTTGGTACATCAACACCACACCTAAAAATCTTCTTTTTTTTTAGTAAATATCAATTTTCTGTCATAGCATGGGAAATCTTAAATAGAAGCATAGGTTGACATGTACATCAAATTAAAGGGCTTTACTAGCAGAATATAAAGCCGCAAATTTGAACTCAAATGGACAACCGAGCCAAGAATAACAGTTGTTCACAGATTCATTTAATTTGCATTGCTTTTATACACTTACTCCTTCGGGGGCACAGCCCTAGGAGTCGGAAGAAAATTTTTAACGTAAGCATAGGTCAATATGTACATAAATTTAAAGGTCTTCACTAGTAGATTACAATGCTGTAAATTCAAGCTCAAAGGAACGCCTGAGTAAAAAATGGCAGTCGTTCAAAGATTCAAAATGGCAGATTCATGAAATCTTTGAACGGGTGCCATTTTGCGCAGGATCAACCTTTTGAAGTGCGGTTTGCGGCATTGTATTCTACTAAACAAGACCTTTCATTTGATGTGCATATTGACCTATGCTTCCATTTAAGATCTTCTTCCGACTCCTTGTGGGCCGTCCCCCTGAAGAGTTTTTAGATCACTGAATATGTGTTAAAATAAAGTTTTATGCTCTGTAACTTTGTACCAAGTATTGTAGTTCTATCTACATTATTCTTTAAAATATTTAACTGTCTTCGGACTTTATTACCACCCTGTATATTAAAATATAGGGTTTTTACTTTATCCTTAACAAAACAACTTTAAAAAAGCCTATTACTAATATACATAGGCCTACTAGTAAAATAAAATTTAAATTTTTTCCTTAGGCCTACTTTAGTGTAAAACATAGTAATATTGACATTTTACCAGTGAGACTTCATATAGATCATGTCAATTAGGGTGGGGCTGAAAGAGCATGCACACAAGAACCCTTCCCCCACAAGCCACAACCGTTGCTTTTGTTACTTTGCACATTAATCGCAACAATTAATTACCATTACATTAATTTAATACCACCAGTGTCTGTCTAGAATATGGCTCAAGCTCTCCTAGACTCACACTAACTTTTCTACAAACATTCAGTTTTTTTCACATTTTTCAATGGACCCAGCAAAGTTAATAATAGCCTACATTATTGGCGTTCTTTAAATTCAATTCCATCCTACCTCGGCTCACAGCTGCGATCATTGATTGAGGAGACTTGTTCCTACGACCAAACCACTGGCCGAGCTCTCCTACCTTTACTTGTCCAAAAGGAGTGTCAGCTGAAATTGAAAAATTGTTGTTAATGTAGTTTTTTGTAAACCTAGAAAACCAATTCTAAAAAAAAAACCTTCACATGAAGTAAATCAGTAGGCCTAAGTATCAGGTAGAGGCTTCATGTAGGTGAACACTTATGGCCTACACTTATGGCCCAAATTGTGTATTTTTTCAAAATTAAACTAAGAGACAAAATTAAGTTTTTTTCTTACGGCAACACATGAGGTATTCCAACTTTAATTCCAGCTGTTATGTCAAGGTTTTAATTATTTTAACCTGCAGGTTTTAGTTCATTATTAGAATCGACGTGTTTGTAATAAAATTAAGAACGTAACTGAAAATCAGTTTGTTAACTGATTTTAATGCATGCTTGAATATGTTAATGGCATTTACCTCTATTACAATTATTATTATTATTATTACCAATTGAGATAGGGGCGCCACCTAGGTGCGTATTTTAACCCAAATATGCGTGAAGTATGAGTGTAGAATGAGGTGTGATGATCCGTGTAGCTTTGTAAACTGACTAAGATCAGCTGTTTAGTCAGATTTATTTAAATCCCAATGATCAAGGACAGCTGGGTCCGATTTCAAACTATGATAAGCAGATCAGAAAACCTGAAGACTAAGCGAATTTCCATTAGCCTGATTCGATTCACATTTAAATGTCTCCTTAAAAATATCTCATTTATTTAAATAGAATTAGTTTAACAAGTACCGGTACTGTACTTAGGTTTGCTGTAACAGGGAGGGTAAAAGTGTTTTTTTTTTTTTTATTTAAATAAATGCATTTTTCAAATTTGATCAAAATCTATTATATTATTAAAGTATTTAAACGTTTAAGGCCATTTACCAAATAAAAATATAGGCATATGGCACATCAAAATGAAGCATAGAGTGTACGTAGATTTGCCGAAAAGTATTGATATGGACGAATGAAGGGCTCTGCCCCACAGGCTGATTCCCAAAGGGCTACGCCTGGCATGCTTCCAAAGTTTAGATGATTTAATTTAACTAGTGTACCTGTTGCTCGAGTTCGAGCAATTGCTAAATATTACAGGCGTTATCTATACTTTTTTTAAACGAATAACAGTCATAATTTATGATGACTTTAAAGGATTCAACTCAAAGATTATGGAAATACTCAAGATGTACATATAACAGATCGATATAATCAACATTTCTTGTAAATATCTTATCATTTTTCAAAAGCTGATCTTGTTTTTTTAGTGTTTTCTGCAAATGTTTCCCACAATAGCCGCCGCATTAGGTTGTCCATAATATTGTATTGGAGAAGAAATAGAAATATTTTATTTTTATGTTTATTTATAATTGTTTATAAATAAACATAAAAATAAAATATTTCTATTTCTTCTCCTTGGTGGTGTTCTATGACTTTCCTATGTTTCCATAGTTTGCAAATCGGCTCTTTCAAAGATTATTAATAATTTAATGCTTAAATGCAGCACAGTTTTAATTAAGTTTTCTTTTTAGTATATCTCATTATCTAGGCTCTCTCCCTTTTTTCCATTGTAATATTTACACCAATCCAAATTCAAATAGTAAATATTTCATTTCAACCAAGTCAGTAAATGTTTGTAGCAAACTGTTAAATTAGCAAGCTTATTGACTGTTTACAATTAACATATGTTCTTCTTCTCACTTTTAATTTATGACAACAGCTGGAGTTTCATAACAATGTTTGTTTCCCATGTTAATCTTATGGAGAAATACAAAACTTTAAAGGGCCCCAGGGCCTCACTCTGTAATTATTTCCCTAAAAAGAAAGTTTCCTGCACAACTTCACATTACGCTCTTTCCAATGACACCAAAAACGTGTCAATCGGTTCAGTAGTTTCAGAGGAGTAATTGTCACAAAAATCCTGCTTGCGTATTAAATAATTAGCCTATAGATTATTTAGTATTAGGCTACATTAAAGTGTAGTTATATTCTCCTAGGCCTAATGGTTGAGGCAGGGATTCCAAAACTGTTGTAACTTAGTTTGCTTGCTTAACAGTGGCGGCGATAAGAGCCCTCAGGCCCCCCCCGCAAGTTTGTTCACCGGGCCCCCTCCCAATCTATAATATTAAAACAAAACTGTGTTTTTTTATTTCACGATTCTGAATCAACTACTCGACGGATTTTCATGATTTTTGTGTTGAAAGAAAGATAATTTTGAGAACTAGGGAATGTCGAAGCCATAATTTTAGTTTAGGGTCCCAGTTTTTTAGAAATTAAGTTTCAATTTTAAAAAAGTCTAGCAGCCGACGCTAAGATTCCAAACTAGCTTTTGGCATTAAATAATTTGCTTAATATAACAGCTGTAAACATTCAGCTTTTGTGTCCCAAATTCAGCATTTGGATAAAAATGTAAAGACATACTTAGGGTTGACTTATTTATACTATGTGTAATGCTAATCATTAATACGTTCAATTCTTTTGTAAGAGGATGACAGATTAATTAAATATACATAGTAAAATACTAGGATGTTCAAATTATTTTTAAAGTAATCTTTGTAATCTTCGATTTGTTTTAGAGCAATATAATTTGTTTTAACTAGCAGCTGGTTAAATATAAAAATGCTCTATAGAACTATGAGGTTATTTTATTTCATCTGATTTTGTCATTGATTATAGGAAATAAGTAAGATTAGTAGACCACCGAGATAAGTAACACCATCGATGAATACAAGTCGAGGCTTTGTACACGAGTCTTAAAAAAAAAGGATATGCAAATTATTTTACTGCTCAACTTTTTTAGGAAAGGGTAGGAAATTCACAATTTTTACATGTTTTAATTCATCTTGGTGGCTTTTTGTTTACAATCAATGATTTTGAATGCTTAAACTTTGTTTGGATCAGGCCCGGAAATATTTATGTCATAAAGAAGGAGACCAAGAAGCCTCAGGAATACGATTTTAAATTACCACTACAACCTCAGACGGTTTTTATCCAAAGATGAATGACATAGATTGAACACAACGTCATCATTGACCTAGGATACTGCAATTAGACTAACCATCCTTTTATGAAATCTAAAAAGTTGTTTGGCATGTTTAGTTAACGGAATGGATAATAAACATAGACAGTTAATTACGTCACTAGCTTTACTAGCGTGTTTACGTTTTAAATTCCTTCAACATGTGACGAGTTTTTATTTCAAATGATTATTATTATTTTTGACTCAGCTGTTTACAAAACAAACTATATGTTGTTGTTTTTACTTTTCTTTGTTTACTTATTTATTTAGCAATTGATGCAGAGTGAAATTGATATAGGCCTAAAGGATGTGTGGACGATTCGTAATGATGTCAGGACACCAACGTTATAATTATGTGTACTGTGCATTTTATTGGATGTTTTCGTTTCATTTTAGGGAGTTTCTATTCAGACCTACTGGAAATTGTGTATAGTATGAGTAACTGTATTGTGGTGATATTGTAGAAGAGGCAGGTATGCGATGGAATTGGAAGGTGATATCGTTGACTAGGCCTATACACTTCTCAATTGATAATTACTCTTTCTACTGTAGGCTGCAATAAAATTTGGCTTTATACGTGTAAGCTAGCTGTTCTGAATTAAACACAGTTTTAACTGACTACTCCCGTACGTAGGACGGGCTAACATCTCGTAATCTTAAAAAATATTATATATAAAATATTACATCACATGTATTACCGCCTAAACTTGCACTTTAGCTTGGTACGGCGTCTCCCAAGGCGTCATCATCGTCTTCCATGATTGCGGCAAAATGACCTATGACATCATCAGATAACAACATTATCGTCTCCCGCATTCACGGCCCAATCCCTAATATCTCCCGCCCCGAACCGTGGTGACGGGGAAATAATTTTTTCTTGCCCTAGTCCTCTTACCGGGTTTAACAAATTTCCGGCATAAAAAAACTTATGGTAATTTTCATATAAATTTTGTTATGATAGGGGCCCGTGTGGCTGAGCCTGTCACACAATTGCGGGCCCGTGTCCCGGTAAAATTTCCCGAAAAATCCCAGTCAGGGCTCACGCCCCCCCCCCCCCGCACCTATGCTGTGCGGGTCCGCTATTGCCGCCACTGTTGCTTAACCTTTGTCATATTTGGAAAATTAGGCTGAGACGTACCGGTAATTTATTTCATTGAAATTGTACTAAAAACACGTTATTACCATTTCCCAAAGCAGCAAACTTATGTACTCGTGATATCGTTGACTAGGCCTATACACTTCTCAATTGATAATTACTCTTTCTACTGTAGGCTGCAATAAAATTTGGCTTTATACGTGTAAGCTAGCTGTTCTGAATTAAACACAGTTTTAACTGACTACTCCCGTACGTAGGACGGGCTAACATCTCGTAATCTTAAAAAATATTATATATAAAATATTACATCACATGTATTACCGCCTAAACTTGCACTTTAGCTTGGTACGGCGTCTCCCAAGGCGTCATCATCGTCTTCCATGATTGCGGCAAAATGACCTATGACATCATCAGATAACAACATTATCGTCTCCCGCATTCACGGCCCAATCCCTAATATCTCCCGCCCCGAACCGTGGTGACGGGGAAATAATTTTTTCTTGCCCTAGTCCTCTTACCGGGTTTAACAAATTTCCGGCATAAAAAAACTTATGGTAATTTTCATATAAATTTTGTTATGATAGGGGCCCGTGTGGCTGAGCCTGTCACACAATTGCGGGCCCGTGTCCCGGTAAAATTTCCCGAAAAATCCCAGTCAGGGCTCACGGCCCCCCCCCCCGCACCTATGCTGTGCGGGCCCGCTATTGCCGCCACTGTTGCTTAACCTTATTCCAACCTATTTTTGTCATATTTGGAAAATTAGGCTGAGACGTACCGGTAATTTGTTTCATTGAAATTGTACTAAAAACACGTTATTACCATTTCCCAAAGCAGCAAACTTATGTACTCGTTAAACTAATGTTTACTCTGTTCATACAGTAGGCCCTAATAGTTCAATACAATTTAGGCCTATATTGTAAATTCACGTAGGATAATACATAAATAGGCCTACTACCTCAGAACACAGGCATCAACAAATAACATACCCCGCTGCAGCAAATCTGCCGACTAAGCGAATTTCCATTTGTCTGAATTGATTTTCAATTAAATCTATTTAAATAACATTAGGTTTAACAAGTAGGAGTAACTAGGTTTGCTGCTACAAGGAAACTAACAAAGTGTGGTTTTTATTAAAATATTAATAGCTTAGTACAAAATAAATAAATTTGCCAAGTTTGATCAAAATATATCCATAAACAAGCAAACTAAAGTACAACATTTTACAATATTTTCCATAAGAATAACATGGGTAGGTCTAGGTATTTAAAATTTCTTCGTAAAGTTATCAATAGGCTAATTGTATAAAAACACTTTGATAAAGTAGGCCTAAATTATTTGTTTTTTTAAGCTATTTAAAAAGGTATAAAGATAAATTGGAATGTTTTGTGTTTTGAGGGTCAATATTGAGAAAACCTAACTTAATTTCCCCCTATAAAACCTCCTGTAAAACCCTGTTCCCATGGTCCGATCATGATGGATCACAAACTCATTCCAGTTTATCCCGCCCTACTTATACCTTTAAACCAAATTTCATAAAAATGGGACGAAAATTACTCAAGTTATCGCGTTTACAGACACTCATACAACGTCTTACTGTGCCATCTACGGTAATAGCTACTTCCCTATAGGGAAATTTGCTAAAATTAAAATTAACTAAGCCTAGGCTTACCTCAATAGGACAGTTTTTGTGGTAAAGTATAAAAAGTAAAGAGATCATTTATCATCACAGTATATAAGTTACGTAGTAAGTTAAGCCTAATTACTTAGAACTAAAAGGCTTTCCTACTAGGCCTAATTATTTACCAATTACTTCCTAAACATCTTTGGTTGTTTTCTACTAGAACAAACCAGGCAACATCTTATAAATAGGAATATCAAAATGTTAAAAGAATATAAATCTTTCATAGAGCAATCCTAAGGTCAAAACTAGGTTACTTTTTCCGAAGTAGCAAAATTGGTTTGAGCGATTTCCATTATACATACGTTTTCCGTAGTATCTTGCAGGATCATAAGGGCCATGAACTTTAGGGTTGTATTCCGCTGGATAGTCTCCGAAAGCCATTTTAATCCTTAATTTTTTATTAAAAGTTGCGGAAAACTTAAGGACGAACTTGATCGAACAGCCCAAAAAGCAAAATGCAAGACAACAGACAGAATAGATCCAGATCCAGACCAGATAGATAGCGACAGCAGACGGCAGACAGTGAGAAAATTGAGAGGAAGAAGAAGATTTTAGACAGCTGTTTTCAGATATAACGACAGGCTAGTAAAATATAATCAATGTGCATGTCAACGATAGTCCTCCTTTTCTTGTTACTTTTACGAGCTTTTACCATAGATAAAACAACTAACTTAAGCGAAGGCATCTTTTATGTCATTATGTCAGTAACAAAAATGCAAAAACTAAGAAAGAAAATATATTTTTAGGTATTTTCCCTTGGTACCTAAAAGGATCTTCAAATTTTGAAAAACTTATTGTTTCTCATTATTTGGCCCATTTTTCATACGCGAATAGGAATACACACGTGTTGCGGTGAAGCCAGCTTTAGCAGAACACTAGAGGGGCACGCGGAGCCATAGAGTGGCAAAAAGCCTCGGCTATAACATGGGAGAGATAGGGGAAAACGCGACGCGCGCTGTTTCGAATTAAAATTCCCGCTAAACTAAAACACCTGTGTTATTCACCGATGGCATTCTTAAAGTAAATTAAATTTCCTATCGAACGGTGTCAATCATTCCTATAAAAACTATTATTTATTATTTACTAGCTGTACCCGCGTGCTTTGTCCCGTTTTACTTCATAAGTGAGCTCGTTCGCATGGCTCAATCACGTCCTGGTTGGAGTTCGTTCGCTACGCTCACTTGCCTTCAGGTTAGCTCGTTCGCTACGCTAACTCGCCTCCAGGTTGAAGTTCGTTCGCTACGCTCGCTCACTTTTTGGTTGCAAATTAGCTGTTGTCATAAATAAAAAAATAATAGTGCTGCACCCTGTTGGTATTCCTTGTAACTTTAATGCTATTGAACACCATAGAACAGAACCAACTTGTTTAATTGAAACAGCTGTTAAGATTCATTAATTTCATTTAAATATGAGTAGGTACTCATAAGGTTAATATGGGAAACTCCAGAGCCACTGGGGCGGAGCCCGAGAGTCCGATCAGAATAAAAACAACTTACTTTTCCTATTTAATGCCTAAAGAATCAGTGTACCAAATTTCAGCCTCCTAGGTAAATGGGAAGTGGGAGAATTAGTGATGAGTGATGAGTGAGTCAGTCAGTGAGGGCTTTGCCTTTTATATACAGGGTGGTAAAAAAGTCCCAGGACAGTTAAATATTTAAAAAAATAATGTAGATAGAGCTACAATACTTGGTACAAGGGCATAAAACTCTATTTTAACACATATTCAGTGATCCAATAACTCTTCAAGGGGACGGCCCAAAAGGAGTCGGAAGAAAATCTTAATTGGAAGCATAGGTCAATATGCACATCAAATTAAAGGTCTTTTTTAGTAGAATACAATGCCGCAAACCGCACTTCAAAAGGTTGATCCTGCGCAAAATGGCAGATGTTCAAAGATTTCTTAAATCTGCCATTTTGAATCTTTGAACGACTGCCATTTTTTACTCAGGCATTCTTTTGAGCTTGAATTTACGGCATCGTAATCTACTAGTGAAGACCTTTAATTTGATGTGCATATCGACCTATGCTTACGTTAACAATTTTCTTCCGATTCCTAGGGCTGTGCCCCCTGAGGAGTACCGGTAGGCCTAAGCGTATAATAGCAATGTAAATTAAATGAATCCTTGAACAACTGTCATTTTGCGCAGGATCAACCTTTTGAAGTGCGGTTTGCGGCATTGTATTCTATTAAAAAGACCTTTAATTTGATGTGCATATTGACCTATGCTTCCAATTAAGATTTTCTTCCGACTCCTTGTGGGCCGTCCCCTTGAAGAGTTATTGGATCACTGAATATGAGTTAAAATAGAGTTTTATGCCCTGTAACTTTGTACCAAGTATTGTAGCTCTATCTACATTATTTTTAAAAATATTTAACTGTCCTGGGACTTTATTACCACCCTGTATATAGATTATTGAAGATCAAAGTTGAAAGAATTGACCTGGGGCCCATCTATATATATAATACCCTAAGCCGATTTTTGTAAACAGAACTCCTCCCTCATTTTTGGACCGATTTTGATGATTAAAGTGTCAAATGAATTGCCCTGATCTGTAGTTTTGCAAAGTCTTTTTCGTTTTTTGAAATCTTTTCTATATATATAATACCCTAAGCCGATTTTTGTAAACAGAACTCCTCCCTCATTTTTGGACCGATTTTGATGATTAAAGTGTCAAATGAATTGCCCTGATCTGTAGTTTTGCAAAGTCTTTTTCGTTTTTTGAAATCTTTATTAGTTTGGACAGGATATTCCATCAAAGTTGGATTTTCTCCCATAAGATTAACATGGGGGAATCTAAATATTTAATTGGAAACTTTGTCTCCATTAATTTGAGAGAACGACTGGACGTAGAAACTTGGTAGAGGTGTCCAAAGAAAGGTCTTGGTCTCTAGATGAGTTACCAAAAGAAAAACTAAGTGAATCCTGTTAGGGCTCTGCCCCAGAAGCCCTTAAAGATCCCTCCACAGATTTGTTTACATTTTGTCCATGTGGATAATACTTTTTACTGAAACAGCTGTTAATTTTTGAATTGTATTTTAAACAACACATATTTATTGGGAGTTACTGAATTGTCCAAAAGAAGTATTTGCAATGTTATTTTCTGATTTTAAAATTGATTTCCTTCTGTATCATGTCATATTTTGCAATATAACGTTCCATTACGAAATCAGTAGAAAATCCTTTTATCACAGTAACTCTCATTTAACATTAATTTCTTATTGAACTATCTTATATCTATTGTACGGGTTGGTATCTGCCTTTTTCACCACTTTTGGCTATATTTTATCATATTATTCTAGACAGATCATCATAGGTTCGTGAGATTATTGTCATACATGTTTTCAATCATTGGAAAAATCTTCGATTGTGTAATACAATACAAAATAATACAAGTGCAGAAGTGTCTTTTAGCTTTAACATTAAACCCACAACCGATTTCTCAAAACTATACTAGAGGGTAATAATTCATTGGCACAGAAGTACGATATCCCCACAACCAATTTCTTAAAACTATACTAGAGGGTAATTCATTGGCACAGAAGTACGATATGAACTGATGCGACGTGTCGAAGGAAAAATCAAACTTACACTGTGAGGACCTCCCTTTCAAGTTAGAACGTGTCTCCTCAACAAGCAGATATTTTCTCTCAAATAAAATCATAGATTAATCCTTATTACACTGATGAAATCGGGGAAGTTTTTAACTAAAAAAGATCCACCAATACGATTTTAATACTGTTTAAAGGTTCTTCCAAAGTATGGGAAATATTTTATTCGTTGAATGATCAACCATATTTGGTAACTAACGCAATTAATATCATTATTGTTTTTACACTTATTTACTCTTTAAACAATGTTAAATGCTCAAAATATGTATAATTTTACTCAATTTATCGCAGTTAGATGAATTAGCGTAAGCCTTGAAAGTAACCGTCGATTTCGACGGGTTTCACCTAGTTTTATAATAAAGTACAAACTAATATTATTAGTAAATCAGCTGATCGCCCAATGCAAATCTAATGGTAGTTTATTATGAAATGGGCCCCTGGACTTTGAACATATGATTACTTTAATTATGTTTTTGAAAAAAAAATATGATGGTGATGTATCAACACAAATTAACAATTTATTCGTGTTCCTTAAGTTTCTCGAAATAAAAAAAATATATTTACCTATATTTAAAAGTGGTATTTAAAAAATTAATAACAATAAAGTTTTTTTTTAATTTTTCCAGTTTATAAAACAATCTTACTAATAATAGGTTAAAATGAAAATTTTAATTCGGGTGGTGAAATTCATTTTAAATTTGCATTTTTCATAGTTTTCTCGATTTGTTAATATCATTTTTTACTAGTTTTAAGTCATTTTATGTGCTAGGCAGGTGATTTTAAATAGCCAAAGCTAAGAAAAAATGAAAAGCCGCTCTAACTTTTTTTACACCAACAGCCGTTACAATTAAATAGGCTAGTCAAATTAAGGAAAACATCAAACTAATTGTAAAAGAAACAAAGTAAGGTTTTTTAGATGCGGAATGGTGTCCCAAACAACATATCAAAAGTCTACCAAAATCCACGCAGGGGAAGTCCGCCATATTGGCCGCCATCTTTGATTTTTCAAAAAATCTGAGACCTATGAGTATTATGGCTCTTGAAGGACCAAATATCAACCGAATAAGACAAACAAAGTGTCTATTTAATATAAAATTAAAAAAGCTTTTTGATTATGTATAACATGTAGACATTTGACAAGCCAAAATTTAGCAAATCCTAAAAAAACTTCGAAATAAACGGATTTTTTAATAATTTTTCTCTTTAGTCTCCTGAAACTAAATAATTACTCAATTTAACAATTGATCAAATCAATAATAATTTTTTTTTAAACATTCTAAGAGGCTTATAATAATATGCGCTAAGGTGCTAAATCCAAATTTTCGACCTCGGCGACCTTCCGGATCACCTCCAAAAAGCTTAAATATTGGCAGAATTTCGCACTATTTTTAAGTTTGTGTGATTTTGACCCTGAAGCATCACTTTTTCATAAAGAACAACCATAATCATTTTTAAAGTACATTAAATTACCTATCGTTTAAGACCAAAATGGTTATTACAGGCCTAATAGTTTTCAAGATATGACTCAGCGAACAATGGCCAAAACTACAAAATTTTGAACTTTTTTAAAGTTTGGCTAACGTTAACCCTAAAGCATAACTTTCTCATATCTTTTCATTAAAACAACCATAATTACTTTAAAACAACATAAAATTACTCACAATATAAGACCAAAATGGTGATTATAGGCCTAACACATTGAGAGATATGACTCTTCAAGGATCATAAAATCTTCTATAAATGTTTGTACTTTAAGATTCAAGCTATTCAATTTGGTGAAAACTTATAAAAGAACCATACTAAGCACACACATTTATTTCATTTCAACAACAGATTATAAGTTTTTTTAATGGAAGAAATATATTTTAATAAAAATGTAC